AACGATCAGACCGTCGAAACCACAGGTGAGCAGATTCGTCGACGGACGATGCGCGCTGATAGCGATGCCTCTGATTTGGTGCAGCGAGGGTAGAGCCTCCAGGCGCGCAGCTTCTCGAAAGTCGTTCTTCGAGAAAGATTTGTCACGTTGTACGATTTTACTTTGGGACGATCGCGATACGTCGCCGCTTACCTTTAATTCGATTCGATACAGCTGCTTCGCGAGACAAGGAACACCTAATATTTCGTGACTCCCTTCTCTTCCGTAGTGGAGACTCTCGAAGGAAGACGAAAGCTTCATCTGGTGATCTACGTGCTCGTAAAAGTCGCCGGAAAATCTACAGGCGTATACTTGGATCTCGCGTCCGGCTAAGGAGTCGTTCGATTCACCGACGAGAACCAGTACCTTCGCCGCCGATTGGTCGTCGTTGGTCGTCTCGTAAACGAGAAAATCTACCACCTGCCGTATAAAAGTTTGAACGGCGAGCGTCGAACGGTTGGAAGGTGTAACGCGTCGTACCGTCTCCTCCTACCTTTCGACGAACGTTCAAGCAAACTGCGACTTTCGCGTTCGACGTTAACAGAAATAGACGAGCAATCGAAGATGCGGCGACTCCGAGCAATCGACCTCCTTCGGAAAACTTGACGCGATCCAACGTCTCCCTCTGCAGATGAACACAGCTGGCGATCTTTGGCGAAGAAGGCGCATCAGCTTCGACGAGAAGGCAATTTCCTTCGTCGCTGCAGCTTGCCAGGAGTGGTAAGGAGGGATGCGAAATCAATTGGACAACTGCAAAGCACGTCACGTCGCATATTCTCTCTCTCTCTCTCTCTCTCTCTCTGCTCTTCCTCTGTACCGACCTGTGCCATGGTGTGCTAGTTCCTTCGAAGAGACGAGGCTCCCCGTGGAAGCGTCGACAATCGTCAATCGATCGGCTCGATTCAAAATTGCGAAATGTGGGCCGGATAGCGGAAGGATCGTTTTGTATGGTGCGTCGTATCGTAGCAGAAACTCGAGACGAGGTGGACGATGGTGCGACGGTGCGAATATTTCGTAGAGATCGCCATTTTCCCCGAGGATCAAGATTCTATCTCGGCGAGGAACACTCTCCGCGTGTTTCGGGTACGACGGTAGCGAAATCGACCAGATCGAGCTCCATTTCTCGTTGCGATCTTTCGACAATTTCCTGTAAAACTAAGTGGATACTTCACCATGGGGGGAAAGTTTGACGTACGAAGTGCGAATGGTATACCGTTGCTTGAACGTCGCGATCACGTTCCGTGGATGAGAGATCGATCGTTATCAGCACTCCTCCAGCATGTGCCACGAGTACGGGATTTGTTCGCAATCGACCATTTTCTTCGTCCTGAAAAGTCCTGAAAATCGTTTGTATTCGACGTTCCTCCTCCGTCTCGTCGTAATCGACGGACCAAACGTTGCCGAACTCGTCGCAACAGAGCAAAATTGCTTCGGAGAACCAGCAGCAGGATAGTATCCTAGGCTTGCGTTCACAGCGAGATTCGAGACAGCGGTGGAGGCGAACGATTCTTGAGCAGGCCAGAATGCGGTAGACGGACAGCATCCCGGTGGATGGTGTCAATTGTGCCACGAGCCGCGACAAATCCTTCGAGCAGCTGCAAAGATTAGACCGTCGAAGACTATCGAAGGAAAGGTAAATGTACTCCCTAACCTACTCACACGATCGTGGTTAAATCGACGTTCCGCGCCTCTATCGTCGCTAGCCGTTCACCTGTGCTCCAATGCCAAACAATTAATCTAAAGTCCGGATAGGTGGTTTGTGCAAGCAAGTACTCGGTACCGGCGAACGTGCAACAGAGGTAACCAATCGCCTCTTGGCTGTTAGCGCAGAGACTGATCCTCCTGATCGTTGGATAAGCGAATATCGAGATCTTCGGATTGGGTTTTCTCTCCACCAGGGAGAAGATCGACGCCACCTTGGGAGAAAAGTTGGTTCGTTCGACGTTGGAGGAACGATCGAGGAACATTTTGAGGAAAGTAGTCTCACCGAAAGTCCAGCGAGGCAGCACGCGCCGTCTCCTCTTTCACCGCCGTCGAATCGCTCGACTCGCGTCCTTCCGCTCCCCGAGTCGTAAAAGCTCACGTAGATGCCCGACGCTGTTGCTATCACTTCCCTGTCGACGATCGCGAATTCGCGACAGTTTCGAAGTTTCGCCCATCTGAAAGGACGAGAGAGAGAGAGAGAGAGAGAGAGAGAGCGAGTCGAAGAGAGTTTCCTTACGATGCATCCACGCTGGTGAACGACATGACGCGAACGTAACCCGTTTGTTTGGCGTTGCTGGGAAACCTACGTGGGAGGATCGATCGGCGAATTTCCCTTTCCGTGAACAGACGCGTCGGCACGCGGTGACCGATTTCCGGGCAAGTGTGCCAGTGGATAGTAGGTGGTTGGATGAATCGCGAGACCGTTATCGAGATACCTCGCCGAACGCATAGCAATTGGTCGACGCCTTTCCGCGACACGGGCCACCGAGGCGAAAACGAACCTCGAATACAGAGCTAGAGGACCGTTACTCGCTTAATATGCGTCGACGTCGCGCCTTTTCGAGGGGAGAAGACAGAAGCTTCGACGTTCCCTTGCACGAGCTGTTTCGTTGTCACTCGAAAACTCGCGGTCTCGAGGAATAAGAGCGTACATGCGCGCGTGACTGCGTTCGAACCTGCAGGTGGATCAAGATGATCGCGAAAAAGGACGACGGCAAAGGGTTCCGCGTCACCCTCGTTCTCGGGTTGTTGTATATTACGATAAGTCACGTGAGTAGTTTCGAATCGGCGAATAGTACCGCCTCGATCACCGACGGCACGCGACAGAGTATCGAGGGCCGAACGGGCGAGGAGAATCTCCCGTCGACGAGGAGCGGACCGTTTACGCGTACCAAGGACAGCTATCTAGAAGCGTTGAGGCACTCTCGTACCAGCACGGACCCGCGCGAGGGAATCATCGCGGTGGATGCACCGAACAATGCCGGATCGTTCCAGCGAAGGAAGGAACAAGAGCAGCAGGGGCCGGTGTACGCTGCCAACGAACGATCCGAGATTTCTACCGCCTCCTCGCGAATATCCTACGCTCCTCAGGATCGGGATTCGTTTTCGACGGTTCCCAGCGATTCGTACTCTCTGCCAAGTCGGCCGTCCGGGGACTTTGCCAGTGGTAAGAACACTTACGGACCACCGCCGCGAGGCTCTTACGGGGCACCTTACAACGATTACTCTGCCTACGGAGACTACGCTTCCGCCGGTGGATCCTATCCGTCGTCGCAGCAAGGTGAGGCGAGAGGTATCGTATCGCGTAGTACACTAGCACACGTTTCACGGCCGCGAAATTCTAACGGGGAATTTTGCAGCGTACGGACCGGCAACTGCGGGCTACGGCGTTCCTTACGGGCACGGAGTACCCCACGGGATGCCAGAGCCGGTGCCTGTGCACCTAGGATTTCCCTCCGTCGACTTTTCCTGGCCGTTCGCCCTCAAACTGAACGCTTTCACCTTGGCCAAGATTCTCCTCAAGCTGGTCATTTTCAAGATGATCGTGAAATTTATCGCCGTGATCTGCCTGTTGCTCTTCATTCCCAAGCTGGAGATGAAGAAAAAGGGTAACAAAGGGGGCACGAACAACGACGACGAGGACGAGGACGAGGGACGCGGCACGATCGACGGTAAATTTCTTCCAACAGGCGAATCGAGGGCGTGGGAACGACTGAATCTGTTAACCGCGGTGGTGAACGACGCCCTGAAAGAACACGGACGCTCGAACTGCTCGACGCTCGAATGTCGAGTCCGACGAGATTTTGCACGCGAGCAGGCCTGGCCGGATTACGAACAACTGCTGCAGAGCTACGTCGCGGAGGAAACGCGACGTTCCCGCGCAAAGTCTCAACTTTCTCCGGTCGAATAAGAATAAATGGTAGTCTAGCAGTTGATAGTTGTAGGAAAGTTTCTCGAATAGTTCTGCGGCGGGATCGACGGACCGTAAAGTTTGCTCGCGATCCCCCGGGTCCCCCGTCGCGTATTTATTGCGATTCGCTCGCTCCGTCCTCTTGAAAAATAAAGAGATACACGATTATCGTCGAAATGACGCGCGGCGTCTCCCGTTTTTTTCCATTCTCGTTCCAGTTCCAGCGAATTCGCGACACTTAGCAATTCCGCCGGCGAAGAGCGGAGGCGGGAGCAATTTCGAAAATTGCCGCTACGTGATCTTCGCGATCTTCTCGAGTTTTCTGGAGAGAAACGGACGGTGGGGGTGTGTCCGTTTATAAATACGTTGGGTAGAGGCTACGACGTTCCAGTCGTTCTCGTTTCGTACATACCCGTGCGTGTATACACCCACCTGTGTACCTACACACGTAGTATCGGTCTAAACGAAAGAGGTAGGGGATCCAGCGATCGTCGAGGGAGCGTCACGATGAGGTCGATCGTTCTGCTGGGTAAGTGAAGCAGCACCGAGACAATTAAGGGCAGGTTGAACGCGAAATTTCCGAAGGAGGGACGGGGGAGGGATTCGGGTTGATCGGTTTAACAAGAGACGAATTAAGGCCGCGCGAGACGCGGCACGTTCGTGCTCCTCGGTTGTTGCCGATTAATCGGTTGATTTGGCTTAGCGTTGGTGGTGGCGTTCGCTTTCCTCGAGAGGGCGGACGCTCTGCCGTCCGACACGGCCGCCAAAGAGGTGAAGGAGCCGAAGGAGATCAAGGAGGCGGCGACAGCTTCGAAGGACGTGAAGGAGGCGGTGAAGGCGGCGAAAGAGGCGAAGAAGACGAAGAAGGAGTGCGGGAAGGACTGCTGGGACAACTACGATCCGATTTGCGTCCACGACCCGAACGACACCAGTGTCAAGTCGATAACGTTCGGCAGCCAGTGCGCTCTGGACGTGTACAATTGCGAAATGGGAACGAGTAAGTGTGCGCGAACGATCGGCTACGACGCGCGAGCCAGACCTTTACACGTGTATTCTTAACGCCTGTACAGAATTGGTGGCGAAGAACAAGGGCGAGTGTCCAGGATCGAGCGGCGTAAGGCTGTCCTGAACCTCCTCAACTCCTGACCTCCTCGCCGGGATCGTCCGCCTTCGAGTCTGCGACTGCTGCGCGAAATCATCGTTCATGCTTATGTAACGCCGAGCTCGGCCTATAGTTTTAGCGATGCTGGAAAATTCGAATGGAAATAAAAGGGATTGCGAGAAGAGAGAACGAGAGTGAGAGAGAGAGAGAGAGAGAGAGAGAGAGAGAGAGAGAGAGAGAGAGACACACAGACAGACAGAGAGAGTTTCCTAGTATGTAGATAGGAAATAATAGATAGTGCGTAGGTTCGGCGGAGGCACGGCGGCGGTCGGCACGTACCGGGGGTCAGAGCGGGAACGATTACGGTAAGTGGTAGATAGGCGCGCACTCGCGGTCACGTCAGCCATTGTTTGTCAATTTGGAAACGTTACGCGAAAAGCAGCAACCTATCAACGAGGATGCAGGCCGGAGGAAAAGTGCGCAAGGGAGCGAGTTAGAGGAGGATCGTGGAACGTGGGCTCGCGACGAGTCGAGCGTGGCAAGTGCCTGGAGAAAGAAGGAAGTATGATCTCCTGCTCGATGCTCGTGCTGCTCTCGACGGCGTTTCTCGAGGTGTCGCCGCGCGATTGCGCTCGTTTCGAGTCGAATTTCGAACGGTCGATCGGTAGTATGGGGATCGCGACGGGGACAGTGGCCGGAGTTGGTGTGCCGGTATCGACGAACGGCACCGTCGCGGCAGCTTCGATCCTCGAGGAGCTCGAGAGTCGCCTGTCTCGTCTCGAGAGAAGGCTCAGGGCGGTGGAGCAACCTGGTAAGCGTATATCTTTTCTCTCGTCGATGGTTTCTCCCCCTCTTCTACCCCTCTGCTACCCCTTTTCTCCCCCTGGCCCGCTCCAGATATTTCTTTCTAGCGAATTAGCGCGAATCGGTGATTAGTATGGCAGACGGGATCCGCGGCGGAGGACTGGGAGGTCTGCGCGGAGGGACCGTGTAGATGTCAACCGGAGACTAAGTCGGTGTCCTGTTCGAGGCAGGAGCTGTTGGATCTTCCTGCCGCGCAGCTCGTTCCTAAAGACGTCTTGAAACTGTAAGCCCGGCGATCGTCGCCTTCCTCGATTTGCGACAGAGTAGAGCGGTAGAGTTGTTGATCGAAACGGGGGGACGGTTTCAGGGACCTGGCTGGGAATCGATTGACGGCGCTCCACAGGGACACGTTTTTAGACATGACGCGGTTGAATCATCTGTGAGTAGGGAGTTCGATTAGAGTTCTTTTCCTCGAGCGGTACTCGTCCTTCGTTTCAGAGATCTCAGCGACAACTCGATCGAGCATCTCCCTCTGAATTTGTTCTTCTCGTTGCAAGCCGTCACGCACGTCAGACTGAGCAAGAATCTTCTGAGGGAGTTGCAACGATCACAGTTTTTCAGCACGCGAAATCTTCGTATACTGTGAGTGACGATCTAATCGAATTACTAGCCGAACGATCCAGATCGATTTTTCACCCTTTCCCTTCCGCCCCCTCACTCTGCCGCGACGCAGGGACGCGTCGTCCAACAGGTTGCGAACTCTGCCGGAGAGCCTGTTCCTGAGCACGAATTCTCTGGTGTTGCTCGATCTCTCGTGCAATCGCATCTCGAGCTTGACGTCGGGAACGTTTCGAGGATTGAGCACGCTGGAGGAGCTGTTGTTGGGGAAGAATCGGCTGTCGATCCTGCCGGTCGAGCTGTTCCACGATCTGACGAACCTAAAGTTCCTCGGTTTGGAGGAGAATCGACTGAAGGAATTGCCGGAGGAGCTGTTTCGAAGGCAGACCTTCCTTCGCGAGTTGAACGTCAGAGGCAATCGGTTGACGGAGATATCTGCGAATTTACTGGCTCCGCTCGAACGTCTGCGCTCTCTCGAGATGTCCAACAACAAGATAACTCGAGTAAATACCGACGATTCCAGACAGACCGTCTGCACTGTTTGCACATTAATCTGAGTAACGACGCTGGCCGTAGATCGATTCGTCGGCGTTTCTCGGTCTGGCCGAGCTGAAGGAACTCCAACTGGGGCACAATCGCATACGAAACTTGACGCCCGGGCTGTTCTCGAATTCCGGCAGCTTGGAGCGGCTGGTGTTGTACGCGAACGGCATAGAGAGCCTGCCTCGCGGCGCGTTTCACGGCTTGTCCAACTTGACGTCCCTCTTTCTGCACTCGAATCATTTGAGAACGATGCACCCAGAGCTATTCCAGGACACGCCTAATCTGCGGAAATTGTGAGTGGAGAATCTCCGTGGTTGGAGAATCTGCATACATGTGGTTATCATCTCAGGCAGCTCGAGTCGAATTACCTGTCGTCGTTGCCACCGCGAATTCTGGACGCGGTTCCGTCCATCGAGCAGCTTCGTCTGGCGAGGAACCCGTGGCACTGCGACTGCGCCGCCTCTTATCTGGCCCTGTGGCTGCAGCGAATGTACCTGGCTCGGACGAACGATTCCGGGACGACGGAGGAGAACTCGGGTGTCTGGGAGTTTGGAGCAGGGGCGGTCTGCAGGGGTCCGGGTACCCTCGGAGGCAAACTATTGCTCCGTCTAACGTTTCACGAGCTGTGCGAGGGACAATGGGCGTCGATGAGGGGCTTGGTCCCCCGGCTTCCCGTGGAGCACGTCGTTCCAACCGGCGAA